CTTGGTGAGCATGAGACTTACAAAAAATATTACAAAATCTTACTGACCCCAACCCTTTGTGTACATGTAATATTTATTTTTAATTGGCTGGTTTGTGCAAGTAAATGTATTTAAACTGGTTGTTAAAAGTTCAAATGGATCGTGTTATGTTCTGTAATTGCTGTTAATAAATCTGTCAGAAAAAAAAGTGCTAAAGTTTCACCTTTAGGGCTACAACTGTCTGGCAGCTAACTGCAGTAACCACAAATTTAGCATGGTAATAATAATAATAATAATAATACATTTTATTACTTATGTAACACCATGTTTATTTTTCATGAGGTACCCTCAAAGGTGCGCCTTTGTAACTTATCTACCCTTAAAGCATGCATACTTGAATGGTACTAATATGCTCCCTTTTGGAGGTATAGTTGCACCTTTGAGGTTACTGCCCCAGTAATATATATATATATATATATATATATTATTTCTGACAGCGTAAACAAAAAAGGCTTATGAAATGTTAAAAATATTAAGTGAGTATAATTACTGATTATATTCTTTTAATAGTTTAAAAGAGCAGTTTAGTTTAGAGGTATCGGTATCGATGATACTGGGCTTGAAAATATCGGTATCAGATTGAAAATAAAATAAGATTTATCGCCCATCCCTACTGCTGCGTGATTGTGACGCATCACCACAACACTACGGAGACCAAAACCTGACTTGAAATAACCTAACAAATCAATCGGGGCTAAATGTGTGTTTCTTATAGCAGTTGAAATATTGTCATTTTCTTTATTTATTTTCATTTTTAATTCATATTAAATTTAAATTTAGTTATTTTAATGCTTTAAAGAGCAATTTTAGATTTTAATGTTCTCAATAAGCCTTATGAAACAGGCCTCGGGGCATTAAAAGTGATCATATTTTCTCCATTGCATCGTATTGCATCGAATCGCACTGTTTTGAATCGAATCGAAATCGGATCGCACTGCATCGTAACAGGGGTGAATCGTATCGCATCGGTAGCTGCTTCATATGTATCTTTAATGTATCATATCGTTGGCTATGCATCGAGATGCGTATCGTATCGGCCTGAGTCATGAGATGCACATCTCTACTATACATACAATAAATTAGTTGCATCCAAAAAAAATTGAGAGCAAAAGAAAGTAGTTTTTGACCACAGAAAATGTCAAGAAGGTCACAGGTGATTAATATATATAAATAAGGAATCAAATAAATAAAGAATAAAAAAAAGTGAAATATTTCACGGATATAAGAGGACAGAAAAACGAAAGAAAAGAAGACTGCAGAAAGAAGTGCAGGCAAATATGAAAGACGTAAAGAGAGAAAAGGAGTGTTTGACAAAGAACAAGTGCGAGAGACGAAAAGGGGTGAGACAGAAGATGAGATACAGGGACTCTGACCAGCTAGAAACGAGAGAAAATGAGAGGGCAAGACACAAAGATTGAGGTGGTGGATTAAGTGATGAATAAAGAAAGTGAGAGTGGGAGGAACCAGTGGACTCTGAGCAGGAGATAGATGAGCTGAGGTCAGACGCTGAGAGAGGGAGGACGGAGAGGTAGCTGGAGGGAGAAAAGACGAATACGAAGAACAGGCAGGGAGACAGGAAAGAGACGAGGAAGGAGAAACAAGACTGAAGTGAGCGAGGAAAGAAGAGAGCCAGCAGCATATGTCACAAAATCATTCATCAAGCTCCAAAACACTTCACCTCCACAATCCACGAGAAGAGCACTACGAAGGCGCACTTGACATATCCACCCACCGCAAGAAACCAAAGAATCCAAATGTGCTTACCCACAAGCCAATCATACCAGACACGGTCTCATCCACTGAACTCAACAGCCCAAACACGCCCGACACAGTCACTGTCACTCTCTGTCGTCCAAATCCAGATCTGTTCAGCAGTGCAAACAGAACCATCTGTGCTATTCTAAAACTCTGTCACTCTTTGCTGTCTAAGTCCAGGCTGCTTCCTGTGGCCGAGCTGCTGGAGAGACTCTTGCTGAGCTTCTAAGCCAGGATGTCGTCTCTCTGAGGGCCCAGACCTTGAAGGAGCACAAATGTTTGGGATGCCAGGAGAGTCATTAGTCTGTATGGGAAACACTTAGAGGGATTAAGGCATGCAATTATAGGACGACTTTCTGTTGAGGTCTATATTGCACAACAAGAATAGAGTGCTGCAGTTGTGATGTCAAAACCCAGAAGACTAATTTGCCATGGGTTCCCTCGAGATTTTCCTATGGGTTTTTATAATGGGGTTTTCAATTTATAAGTAAAACGTGGTCTGTGGTAAACATAAACTTATGATACTTTGATGTTATGCACTACAATGGAAATTAGACACACCCATAGTGAAAATGCCAATTTTGAATTTTACGTTAATTTTTTTAGGTCTATTTTAACTAAATTAGAATGTTTGGGGTGTGAGTGTATGCTGTTTACTACAGTAAATACAGTAATATTATGAAATATTATTACAACTTAACATAACTGTTTTCTATATTTAAAAAAAAAAAACTATAATTTATTCCTATGATGGCAAAGCTGAATTTTCAGCAGCCATTACTCCAGAAACTTCAGTGCCACACGATCCTTTTTCTGAAATCATTCTAATATGCTGATTTGCTGCTCAAGTAACATTTATTTTTATTATGCACCCTCTTAATGCGATTATAATGAGATTTTGGCAATATTGCGATTAAACTTTACCTCATGTAAACGCAATACTTTGATTTAAATAATGCGATTAAACTCATAATCGCAGCAAGCATAATCGTATTAACATAGGTGGCATACACCGATTTTAATCGAAATATACAGGCATGTAAACACCTTAATCGCAGTATTGCCGCTCTGACCAAAGTGCGCATGTGCTTGTGACATACATGAATGACGTGACGCGCACCTGTAATAATACGCAGATTAGAAACGATGGAGGGGAAGAAAGCATCGCATTTCTGGGGAAAACACAACTCGCTGCCACCATCTGTTCCTTACCTTCATCCAGAAACGGCGAGTAGAACGCGACGGCAGTGTAGGCAAACGAATTGCCATCACATTTCTATGGCACCGAAAAAGCATGGAATACAACCATACAAATGTGTTTTGCATTGGACGTAAATAAATTAATCCATCATTTGTGATGTGCAGTGGGGTACGTGAATAATGGCAGTAAAAAATAACCACAATTCATAGCTAATAATAATAATAATGGAAATTGCATGTAAATGGAAGTGAAGAGCTTTGCTCGATATGTCCTTACTCTGATGATAATTGGAAGTAATCGCATTATTCGTGCGCATGTAAACATAGTCAGTGAAAACAGTTGTGCTGCTTAATATTTTAGTGGAAACTCTGATATTTTAAGGATTATTTTAATTCTTTTTTTTATATTTTTTTGCAATCATGTAAAAGTCTTATTAATTTCTAAAAAAAAAAAAAAAAAAATGTAATTTTTAACGTGTTCATATTAGAATGATTTCTGAAGGATCATGTGACACTGAAGACTGGAGTAATGGCTGCTGAAAATTCAGCTTTGTCCTCAAAGGAATAAATAACATTTTGAAATAATTTAAAAATAGAAAACTTTACAACATCCGTTTTCATAAAATATTTTGCTTGAATAGCGTGCTTGTGCTATTTTTATTTTTATTTTTAAATAAAATGCGTAAACAAAAAATGCCACGTTTGATATTTTGTTATCTGATGCACTGGCATTTATACTTTAAATATGGCTTATATGTTAAAAAAATTGTTTTCGGGGTTGTTGAATATTTTGCCAGTATTCGAAGGATCTCTAGCCCCTTTTTAATTTGGTGCTAGTTTTTCACTTTCTCATCAAAGTCACTCAGAATTAGCTTTATCAGAATTAGCTTTATTCGCCAGGTGTGCAAACACACGAGGAATTTGTTGTGGTTTTTTAAGGTGCTCCTGGTACATACATACACCGTTGCAGTCTTCTTAAATCGCACTCGAATCGCACTCGATCGCACTTCTGTATTTATAGCTGAATTTTATCCAGGCCTCAGTTTTGCTGTGCCTTAAAAAGGAATGTGCCACCCAAGATGAAATTTCCATAATCACCTTTAAACACTCCTGGTCCCAAAACCACTGCTTTCAGCATTAAACATCCTCCTCCTGACAAACCTCTCTGTTCGGCCCCATGCCAAGCTTTACATGCGCCTCATGGTATGCTAGCAGTTTCCTTTAAGCTTGTGAACACAAGCCAAGAGCCAGAGCAGTTGGATTTCAATAATTATACAGGAGGATGAAATTTGATCAGCCTAAAGTTCAAAATACATGGCATGGTATCTGTCGGTTATTATGGGGTGGCAAAGCTCTTGGAACTGAGAGCATTAAAAGGGGAATTCTGCCATGCGAGTTTCTGAAATGCCACACAAGGATTCTTGTCACTGAGGTCTTGGCTGGCAATCAAAAGAAAAAAAACATCCTGGGAGGTTCTGTGACTGAAAGAGAGAAACAGAATGACCCAACAAGCATTCGCAAGAGAGAGACACTCATACCTTCTTCATTAATTACAGAGCGTAAAGACAATGCAGCTATTGTGTGGTTTTGCATCTTGAAGGCTCTCTCATGCCCATTTTCAGTCATAACCAAGCCACAAACAATAAAGCTAAAACGCTCTAAATTAAAGCGCTTTCATCTTCTCTCGCCGGATCCTTTGGTGCTTCGGGGGTAAAGTGTGTGTGTGCTTGTTTTTTGGGGTTTGCTGTACAGAGCACAAAGGCTGAGGTAATGAGCTGCCACCACGACACACCAGGAATCGGCCTACAGTACTCTCTCTCTCTCTTTCTCCTTTTAAAGCCTTTGACCAAACCCCCAAAATTCTCCTATCTTTCACCTCTGTCCTCTGGCATGAGGACTGCAGATGTGGCCAGAGAAATTAACTGCAATGTCTATTATTTAAAGTAAATGAACTCCAGAAGGCGCACATTTTGACAATTTTTCCTATAAAACATTGACATGACTGAACGGATTTCAGGAGAGCAGAGAAACCCGCTCTCAGATTAACACCAAGAGTAAAAGTCCACAAACGACCCATCAGAGAGGTGATGAAAAAGCTTTGGACAAAGTTAATATTACACTGACGACTAAATGAATTACTATAGAACCCTGAAGCGGTGCAACAACTGACTGCCTTTAAATTATAAATCCAAACTATGAATTCAATTTTCATAATCTCATTCACAGGGCCCAATCTACTGTTTGATCTAATTTGTATATTTCATTGACTGAATTAATGAACTTCCACCGACTCCTGTTTCTTGCTTGCGAACGGGAAAAAAATATGTAATTAAGTCAAAACATAAAACAAAAGAAATTAATTAGATTGCTTATCAACCTAAAATCAATCCAAACTTTATTTCCTGTTGCGTTTGGTAGTAGAGAAAGCTCTCCTCCTACCGCTCCGTTCCCATCGCTCTGTGTTTAAAATAGGATCAAAGCACCTGCCAGTATTACGCAGACAAAGAAATCGATGAGTAGAACAAGACTCCAGCATGTGGGTGAGACAATGCACAAAAAGAGAGAGAGACAGAACTCCAGTGAAGTAGAACAGCATATAGCACCGGCATGTTAAAAACTCATTTTCAGTGACAAGAAACTTAAGTATTGTTGAACTGTCTCTGATTTGACTAAACACGGTACTGCATGTACTGCACCGCTTTTGTGCAAAAACAATATTATTATTACAGCTCAATAATAATAAGACAAGAAAACTACCCTCTCTTGAGCATGTCAAAATTTTTCCTTTCAGTTTAAAATGTCTGTACATGGGTTCAGGGTTAAAAATACTTAATCAGAGCTTTGGCCTAATAGTTACCATGCAAGCTCTTACACATTGAACCATGGTGCCCACATGATTGACTGGCAAAAATTCCTGTAACTCAAATGATAGAGAACGTGCTAGCAACCAAGGTCATAGGTTCAATTCCCATGAGGAATGCTTGAACTGATAAAAGTGCATACTTTAAATGCACTATAAGTTGCTTTGGATAAAGGTGTTTGTAAAATGTATACATGTAAATATAAGGACCAAAAAAGACAAGTTCAGTGCATATTATGCAAATTTTCTGCACACGGATTTAAATCACCATATTTATTTCAGAAATTACAAGATAATGCCATTCACGGAATTGCAAAGTGATTGTCATGTAACAATATATTTTTTTTAAATAGCAGGCCAGGCAGTATGCAGTATATACTGCACTGTATTCAGTTAGCAGAAGAGTATTGTATGAAGAATATAGTCATTCACTGGAGGGCAGGAGATGCAGATGATCATTACTAAATTATTTAAGATGACACACCACCTCTCCTGGGAAGATACATATAGGCTCTTCCTGATATACTCCAGATGGTCTGTCATCAACCTTGCAGGCTGGTTGTGAAGGAGAATGCATGAACTACTGATTTCCTATTAATAAAAGAATCGTTTTTTTCAACTGATGCTTTTATTAAATACTTTGTTCAGACTGATTTACAGAGAGTTTGTAAATCACTTGACTGCAGTTTGGAAACTGTAATGAAAAAATGTATTGAAATAATGAATAATTTATTCCAACCAATTTGTTTACTAAACATGAGTTTGCTAAAATAAATCAGACTTCCCAGCATGAACACAAACAGGAGTGTATACCGTACACAAATACATACAAACACATAAGTAAACACATGCACTTCACAGGTGCATTTGCTACACCAACATAAATCACTATAATCAAACACACACACACACACACACACACACACACACACACACACACACACACACACACACACACACACACATATGTTTTGCAAACCCCCTAAAGTGTGATTCCTTATCCTCCAAGCAAATTTTCACCTTCAGGATCAGTCGTGCAACTGCTTATAGTCCATTTATCAAGCAGCAGCACAATCTGTACTAGCTAATTCTCCAGCACGCAAGACAGCGGAAGCACAGCGGTGCTATGACCACTCTGTCTGATCCTGTTTGGCTCAAATATCACTTCTTGCCTTTTTTTAGATACAGTATGAGCTGATATCTGTGAGTATAAAACTGTTTTAACTCACTGATAACCTTGGAATTGTTAGTGAACTGGAACTGAAGAAAAAAATCTAAATGTAAAAAGTATTTTTTGAGCTTTTAAAACGGTTAATGCTTACCTTAAATTATTTGAGCAGCATTAGATAAATTAGGTGTTAATCAAAAAATAAATAAGTATAACATATAGGGGTGGGGATTTTGATTAATCCCATTGACTCTTTTGAATCAGTTCACCAAAAAGATTTGTTAATCGAATCTTTTTGCAGGTTAAATCATTATGCGAGCGAGTCATTTGAGTAAAGATCCAGTGTGTGTGTCTAAAAGCAAAGTGGAACGCAGCCATACAAGCAGTCTCTTGTTTCATTCCTGAATGAAACAATCAGTTGAATCAATGATTCAAATCCCACTTGAATTCATGATTTAAATCCCAGTGCTGTTAGAATTTACATCAGTGCTCTTGGAACGTCGATCTGCCAATCTGATTACGGAACTGGATTTAACCACTAATATAATCTATACAATTCGCATATCTACAAAACTGTCATGTCTACAGTTCATTCAAAAACACTGATTAGCTCACAAACAAAACATCACTAAGAACTCAAATTATAGAAAATAATAGCATTCACATCCCACAGGCCATTCAAGTAAAGCGAAGGATGAAGCCATGAATTTTGCAATGCAGTCTGGCTACTGTCCAAACACATAATGGACCATAAAGCTTCAAGATTAGACACAACTATCCTGATCCCCTAAGTACAGTAGACAAGCCACACCTTCATTTTAACTGTGTCTAATGCCTGTTCCTAAAGCATGTTATTCACAGAAGCTTTTTAGTCTGTCTTTGTGATGTGCCATGTCCTATTATATGTTATTTGCACTCAGTGATTAAAATAACTTTCCTTAACCTCATTATGTAAATCAACACAATATCATATTAGAATATAATTGTGTGCTAGCATTATATTAAGCCAGTTAAACTAGTTTCCAACTTATTCTTTCTTCTCACCTTTAAAGTGCAGTGCATTGGCCAGGATCATAGCTCCAGGTTTGGTCTCCAGTGCCTGTTCCAGATCTGCTGTCTCTTCTCCATCCATCCCACTTTTAGCCCAAGACTGGAGCTTCTCCATGTCAGTCTGTTTCTGTGCATCCTCCAGGGCCACATGCTGCAACCCAAAGTGGGTCTGGAGCTTCTCCAGAAAGCTCTTCTTCAGTTTAGGGGCTTGTTTGGAAAACAGTGCAGAGGAAATGTGCCATGTATAGCTGGTTCCATTAGCTTCACGCACACATTTCAGTGCCTTGGTCAAAACTTCTCCAACAGCCTTATCATTTTTGGTGATCCCCAGGAGATCATGAAACTGGCCTGCTGTGGGTCCTTTAGCTCCATGCTCTAGAGCCAGCAGGGAGTTGGCCAACAGAAGCGGGGAGATGAAGGTGTTGGTCTGGGAACCATCGATGCGGAGTGACCTATACAGCTGCAGCCCCAGGCTCCAGGTGGGGTGATGTAAGCTGGAGATATCTGTCTGAGGCGAGCTTTGAACTTTCGGTTCCTGTGGAGCAGACCAGACGCTCTGTAGAGCCAACACTTGTAGAAACATGAGAGGAACAGGAAAGGTGGGCACCATTGCAGGACTGGAGAGAAGAAGAAAAAAAAGAGAAATATTGAAATATCATTCCACAAATGCTAAGTATATTACATTGCTAGAGTCAACATGAAAGTTAAACTGATCTCATTTATTGTATACAACATATTCCTATTTATAATGTGGATAATTAATTGGTGCACTAAATTCAAAAGAATAAAATGTTTATCTTCTTGCTCCACCTCTGAAATAACTTTCTTTTTGACTGTCAATCACTTTTATTTTTTTCAAATACTTAAAGGTGCTGTATTTAATACTGACAGCTAGCGGTTGAAATTAGTTCTGCAGTCCAAATTCAAAATATTCCAAGTGGGGGTAACTGCAGGCTGGAGCCGTGGGCGTGGTGAAAGATTAGGATGTGCCGAGAGGTAGGGGGCGTGGATAAAGGTCTTTCTAATATGTTAGGTTTAGGGGTTAGTTTCTGTTTTAGCATTCAGCTTTCGGCAGCCACCTTTTGCCACGCCCATTACTCTGACCTGCAGCTACCCCTGTCTCAAATATTTGAGAGTGTTGTTTCTCCCAACCCCTCCTGCTCAGACTCGAAGCTCACGCAGGTTGCCAGACCGAGGACATGCAACAGGAACAAGCGCAATTGATAACAGATGGCGCCGAGCCTGGCACTGCAAGTTGGTGAGCCAAGGCTTTTTAGGTCAGGTAGAATCTGTGATCTCTGACCCAGTCAGACGCTGAGTTTTCCGCCAAATGGGAACCTAAGGTGTTGAAATAGTACTGGGTAATTTGGCAGTGGCCGGAATCACAGACCAAAACAAAAACAGACATTCTGACACGGAACACACATTTCAGTGTAGAATATATGGCTGCAGCATTGCTTTTCGGAGAAATAAATATGTGAACTAGGGCTGCACGGTTAATCGCATGCGATATTTAACGCGCATCTTGTCAGAAAGCCGGTTCTGTAATCAGCGGTAAATCTCCATCACCTGCGGGCTTTCACATTGAGCAGCATTAACTACACAGAGCCCTGATGAGCTGCGCAAAAAATCGCGCGAATATGAACGTGGTTTAGCGCAACTCGTCAGTGAACAACAGCTCTGTGTAGTTAATGCTGCTCAATGTGAAAGCACGCAGGCGATGGAGATTTACCGCTGATTATAGAACCGGCTTTCTGACAAGATGCGCGTTAAATATCGCATGCGATTAATCGTGCAGCCCTAGATAGAACACAGAATGATAGATAGAACATAGAACGATAGATAGAATGATAGATAGATAGATAGATAGATAGATAGATAGATTATATAATTCCTCACTCTAGACATTTTTAAGGAGGTGGTCATCTATGGATTGTTGAAAATGACTCAAAGTGACCAATCCTGTTCATACCTGGTAGACGGCTCGGACCAGGATGTCAGGAGCTCTGATATGTGTGTGCCTCAATCTTCTGAGGGCGGCCGAGGTCACATCCCACAATGCACTGTGCCTCACACACATACTCTCTCCCAGACTCAGAAGCATCGCCTCCATGACTGACAAGCACACAATAGTACTGGGTAAATTGGCAGTGGCCGGAATCACAGACCAAAACAAAAACAGACAATCTGACACGGAACACACATTTCAGTGTAGAATATATGGCTGCAGCATTGCTTTTCGGAGAAATAAATATGTGAACTAGGGCTGCACGGTTAATCGCATGCGATATTTAACGCGCATCTTGTCAGAAAGCCGGTTCTGTAATCAGCGCTGTGTAGTAAATGCTGCTCCATCTGAAAGCACGTGATGATTTACTGCTGATTACAGAACTGGCTTTACTAACAAAATGCCGTTAAATATCGCATGCGATTAATCGTGCAGCCCTAATGTGAACTTAGCATGTTTCCTATATATCTACAAACATATTATGGTATTTTTATGCTTTAGTACAGTCAAAAAATTACATACAGCACCTATAATTCTGGTATGTAACATCCACTTTTCACAATTCTAGTACATTTTCAATGGATAAAAACCAGTCCCATCCTAGTACACACCTTGTACACTGCATCTATCTTTACAAATACTAATTGATGTTTAAGTACTGAACCCTGAGGATGGACTATTGTCCTGTGAGGCCTCAGGACAGCAGCCTCTTGTAGAGTCTCCAAAATAGTTTTATTTTAATTTATTGCATTTAATTATATTATTGGCATACATTCAAACACTGTTTACCTATCTATACCAATTTTACAGTAGCAGTGCCTTGCTTCTGGATGCTTCAGGAATCTCAGCGCAAGGCCCCAGGATCCAAGCCACAATCCATCTCATAGAACAACAATAATTTTAAGGAAAAAATTCAATAATTCTCAGCTGCCTTTAAAAATGACGGTGGTAACCAGAGTTTACTCCAAAATACCATAGTAACTAAAACTTTGATATCCCTGTCATAAAAGAAATCATACAATGATAGATAACATTGAATGAGATTTCATTTAAATTGTACAGTAGTAACAACTGTAGTAGGCGGAAAGTATGGTTACCATGGTCATTTTTTTTGTATATAAGGCTCCCTCTTCAGACACTTTTACCCCGACGTCAAATTCATTTTCTATAACGTTACTGTTGCGGTGCTGACAGGACATTAAATAGTGACCAGGCGTCTTCACGGCTTATACATCACAAAAATAAACGTTACAATCCTCTTAAATCTAAACCATAGACCGAACAGCGTCCTCCGGAAATTTCGCTTTATATCCGAGAGATCACAGAAAGACGGAATAAACAAACCCCTTCAATAACAGCAGACGTTGGAGGATATTATACAGGCGGAACAGTAGATGTTGATTTGTGCGCTTGCTGAGCGAGCGCAGCTGTTCCGTCTGCTCGGAGAACTGAGGGGCGAAAAACACAGTGAAAAAGTTCCTTGTTTGCTTGTACCGTTAATTAATTAAAGCTTCCTTCTTTCCTCCGGCTTCTTCTGTGGGCTTTGAGCTGAAAGGAACTGACAGAGCAGGTTCAGACGTGGCGGAGGAGGGTCTTTTCACAGTTTGCTCACTTTTCCTCCAGCCGAATGTATTCTCTCTGGGCTCAATCCGGGTATTTTTCCTCTTTCCAGAAATCTCGCACATTCCATTAACCTCCTTACGATGCCTAAACAGAGGAGTTGATTTTTTTTTCCTCTATCAGTGTTATAAAATGTAAAAAAAAAGTGTCAAAACGCATCGATTTTTACTGTTTTGACCTGAAAAATCACTGTACGGCTGTTGACATTTAAGCTCTCTTTTAGTTTTTCACGCAACTGGTTACTTCCCTTCCCTTATCTGTACCTCTAGGAAAGTCCGCAGTTGCAATAGCGAGCGAAAGGGGGCGCCCGCGATCTACACCGCCACGGCCCAACCAGTGTTGCCAATTTAGCAATTTTGTTGCTAAATTTAGCAACTTTTCAGACTACCCTAGCAACTTTTTCTTCCAAAAGCACCTAGCAACAAATTTAGCAATTTGAAAAATTGATTTGGCAACCTTTAGCAACTTTTAATATGTGACTCAGACAATAAAAAGGCACACATTTTCCATCCAAATTACACAAAAAGAGGAAACCACAGATGCCTAGCAGTACACACATCACG